AAAAACTAGAAGAAAAAATAAAGATTAATAGTCCCGAGTAAACAATGTTATAGGTTCTGTTCAAATAAGATTTAGTAGAATAAAATTAGGAAAAATTGTTTCAGTCACAAACAATATTTTATAAAATATATTTTACTTTTTTCTTGTTAGTATTATCGTCGTAATTACTATTATTATTATTTTTTTCTTATTATGATTGTTTTGAAGGAACATTCTCTTCCACCCCCTCTCCTACCTCTACCCTAACAACAGACTGCATATACGATATTTGACATTCTTTAAGAAGAGATTAAAAACAATCCCCTTATCGTAGACGTGCCTCTTCTTTGAAGGATTCTTCCCAAAGGTAGATTTTCTGATTCTTAATTGGGCACGAAAGTGTACAGTTTTGCGATAACGAAAATAGGCTTAAAAGTTTTTCTCTAGAGACGATTGCTCGACTTTGTTTAACTTCAAAATAAAAAAAAAGTTCGATCTTTGGGTCCACTTAGTTTACTTGTACCGCACACTAAATCCTTTTTATACGGAATTTTTCCCCCTATTAATGATACCTTTTAAGATCTACCGATGATTTTTTTATGGAGCGTGTACGAAATATTTAAGTGATTTATCGATGTATTAAGCTGTATTTTATATTAAAATGTTTAATTAATTAATTTATTTTTTGCTGGATGATAAAATATTTCGCTTCATGCAGTCTATTTTGCAACTTTTTTTTAAAATGCTGGATGATAAAATATAAACGTTATTATAATAGTATAGAGCCTGAGAGATGTGAAGGCACCACTCGTATCTCTCGGGCCCCGCTCAGAATAAATCCCTGGTGTCTTCTTATCACTCTTCGGAAGTGTAGAAATATTTAAGTAACGTCAACAAGATGCTAATAAAGATAGATTTTTTTGTACCATTTAGCGGAATAAATTTTAATTTAATTTCCTTTTATATTACTATGTTTTGTTTTTCATACAAACAAAGGAAATTTTGGGACTCCATGCGTGTAGGACACGGGCCAAATAATCCGAACTCGAACCTGGTTTCTTCTCTGGAGAATTCGGGTTCGAGTTCGCTTCGAATCCTTAGAAATTTTCATGAACATTTCATTGAATACAGGGGAAAGACACTACTAAAATCGAGAGCATATGTTTAAAATGTGATTAAAAATTGCAGCACGGACGGCATTGTGACAGCGTCACAATGCATATATATATATGCCACTATCATATTTTGAAATAGAATATATATATATATATATATATATATTCTATTTCAAAAGATGATAGTGGCATTATTTATATATATAAAGAAATTTAAAATATTTCAAAAATTTCTTTAGAAGACCCCCTACGAGATATATCCGGAAGCATTGAGAAGGAAAGAGTATTCTTAGACACCAAAACATACCCAAAATAGAATCATTCTTTCCCCTTTTCGTTCACAGTAGATTTATGATCTTCCTTCTTACTTTCCAGGGACCTATACCCATCCTGTTTTGTTTTGTTCAAGACCTGATTTAGTATCATTCTTCCTATTTTGGATGACATTTAAACCTTTCCGTCTCATCGATAGGAATATTGAGTCTACTTTTATGCATCTGGAAAGGGTATTTTTTTTTAAAATTTAAAACCCATTGATTTAAATGGGGTTCGGATATTGGATCTCTCGTCTAATTTTCCGAAAAAAAATTAAAATTGTTTCCTCCTTACATTCTCTGGCATTGTCGTAAGTCTGTCCCCAGATCGATATCTATTTTGGCTCATAACGACAGACAATACTAAAGCGAAGAAAATTCATTGCGCCTAATTATATACTCGATATTGAGTTTCTACCCTTTACCGGGATGGATCAAAATTCAGTTAACCGTGCGCAATTCAATGTACTTAATTACGTTCGAAGTAATTAATTTTGTACACTGGTCTAAAAGTCAGTTAACTACACTCGCGAGTACGAGTCGCTAAATTAAGTGTAGAACGATAGAGGCAGAAATTTAGTCTTTAAATTGGTTAACTGACATGTGGACCACCCTCTTTCTAAAGCGTGGTTAAGCGACTTTTGGGCTACCTTACACGTAATTTCCTCTTTCTAACGCTACAATTCACTCCTTTATGTAACTCTGAATATATAAAAGTATATTAATTTTTTCTTCACAATAAATAAACTTTTATTCCATTACTTTACATTAGAAAATGAACTTACAGAACGCATATTCTTTCCATAATTATAAACTTAGCGTTTGCACTTAGAAGATAATTAATCGACATTTTAAAATTTAACAATTACCACGCAAGTAGTAGTGGTTTGGGCCATACTGATCACAAAATTAATTTCAGATGTCGATTAAATTAAAATTGCAAATAAAANCGACTTGATGTGTGTTTTTTTTTTTTAATATTATCTTTAATATAAAACATAAGAGAAGATATTAAAGTAGAAAAATGGCATTTTAGTAATGGGAAGAAGGCAAAGAAACGTTTAAAGAAACAAATATACATCTTACAAATATTAAAGATACGAGAAGAACAGAGGAAAGAAAGAAGACTTCATCATCGAAAATACAATAAAAAATAAGGAAAAAAAAAATAAAATAAATAATAAAAGCTCTCACGCACACATTTGTAGATATATATAAAAGGTTTTTTTTTTCTCCCTGAATGATTCATCAAATATATTAAAGTTGAAAAATTGATGCGTAATCACAAAATTGATTTTTCCCTTCGTTCTGGTGTGAATAATTCTAAAAACCGCACCAGAACATCAATCTTAACCTTTAGAAAAACAAATATTTTAAGGAAGCTTCATCAATATACAAACTTATTATTTTAAATCTGTCATCTTTGATCTATGATAAAAAGGAAGATGAAGAAGAAAAGGGAAAAAAATACATTCCATTTAACTTAACGAAGGTTACTTAAATAAATAAAAAAAACATTACTGTGTTAATAAGTACACGCTGTACAGCTCGATATAATTAATGATTTTTAGTATTTAACATAGAGAAATTTTAATAGAATAAAGTGGAAAAAAATGCCTTTTTTTCGCCATGCAAAAAAAAAACACTTCTCCAAGGTATAAATTTAATGGCGAACAAATTATTCATCTCTTTCCCCTTTCACGAATAAAATTAATAAGTTTTTCTATTGACAAACTGATTAAAATAATTCTTAAATAATTTCTAAATTTGATTAATAATTAAAAAAATACTTTAAGATACTTTCGGACATTTAAATTATGAATAAAAGGAATTTAAAATATTTCTATTCAGTAAAGGGGGAAGGGAGAGGGACCCTTTTCATCAAATAATGTTACATTTTCGATCGAGTGCAGACTCGATTTTCTTTAGTAAAATGTGCAAATTATATTAGAATCAAAGTCGTAAGTACTCCTACTTAAGGATCCATAGGGGGAGGGGAATTTACATTTTATTTTTCGAGATGAATGGAAGCGATCAAAAACGTCTTTTATGGAATTTAATGAGAAATATTTTTGTAATTAAGTAAAATTTTCTAGACACGATAACGTTTGTCGATTTTATCTTTCCCCCCTTCTTTATCGCTTTAGGTAAAAGGAGGAAATTGTGTGCTTCGGTCGTCTCCCCCCGTTTTCTTTACAAGAAATGGGGTATTTTGTCTTCGGCTGTTCTACCTTGTGTCAGTTTAGAAAAGAGGAAATATTATATGTGCAGTCATCTTCTTACTTTCTTTTTTTTTTGTTAAAAGAAGACTGGGAGTTCTGCGTTTAGTTAGGGATAACTGAACACAGTTTCCTTTTAGAAAAAGGGAGAAATTCTGTGTTCAGTTATCCCCGTTTTCTTTAGAAGGAACAGAACAATTCTGTGTTCAGTTAACCCTCTTCCTTTAGAAGAAAAAAAATGGAGAAATTCAGCGTTCAGTTACTTCCCACTTTTTTAAAAAATAAAAAAAAAACAGGAAGGATAACCGAACACAAAATTTATATAAATGAACTCAGAATGAATATATAAAATTCTGCATAATCTTCTCCTCCGCATCACTTCTTTATAACAGATTTCTGAAAACAAGTCGAATCAATACCCCAGTTCATTCAATGACAAAATATGCAGCCAACAGTATAAAAAAAAAGAAGAGAAAATAGATTTATACACACGAAAAAAAGGGAGAGGAAGCAACCATTATCATTCTAAATATAAAAGGAATAAACGTCGCTTCCTTTAATAAAATTTTTACTTTAGTGGAAGGATATAAAATTTTACAATTGGCCTCGACCGATACGTAAAATAATGACGTAGTAAATTGACGTCATTAACGTGACCTCAGTTAATTAAATCCGATTAAATGGGAGGGTTATTATTATTATTAATCGGTTAATTTAATTTTAAGTTGTGATTGTATCGAACTTTAAAGGTTTATCAATCTTTACTATTGTTGCCAATGTTGTTTCTTTACGAAAGTGCTTGTAAACATCGATATATAGACGTTGTTCACAGCATGCTTTCAGCAGAATCAATACAGTTCCATTTGTCAAACTTCAGAGCCTGAGAGTGTTCAAATATTTAAACACAGAGCCTGGTCTTGGGGGAATAATTCTGAAGTTATGAATGGAAGGAAAAGTTACTGAGTATCCAAATTAAATTAACTTAAGTTTCAAGTCGAAGACTGTAAAATTCTCTCCTCACAACTGCTCCTCTTCATAACTTTTCAGCTTGCGGTTTAGCTGCTTTTTTTATTATTATTTTTTAAATAAAAATAAAATGCTTATAAAATTTTCAGTTTAATTTTAAAATAGGAGTGATATTTATTAATTTAATTTTTTAAAAGAATTTTAAAGTGTCTGGAAGTATAGAAACTGAAAAAATGCACGTGTGCACAATCTAAAGATCTAGCAAACTCAGCGAATCTTATAAAGGAAAAAATATAAAAAATAGGGGGAAAAACCCAGTTACTATCGATTTATAGAGTTATAAACGTATATTACACTTATAAAATATATATTTTTTTCTTTATAGGAAGGTAGTAAAAAATGTTTACCGATTAATTTTAATATTCTTGTAGTAGTTGCAGTAAACTTAGTTGATACTTCCAACGTATTTTCTACGCTTCCTGTTGGTTCTATCTTATAAATTTTATGGATTTAATCTGGAAAAATTGCAAAAAAATTAGATTTATGCATCGAAATTTATCGCAAACTTCAATATTTTTAAATATTTAACTTCTCGTCTAGCTCGTCTCTCTTGCTCAATTAACCTTAATAAAGTGATTTTATGGAGTTATATTAACCAAGAAAATAATTATTGAGTTAGATTTTATAATAATAATAATTCTTGCATTATTAATTTAAATGCATTTAAAGATGGAATAAGTTCACTTTTAATTAATTTTCTGAAGTTGATTTGTTGAAGGGATAAGAAGCTTTAATGGATATGGAGTTAGAAAGATGGAATTGTTAATGTTATGTCTTATTTATTTTTTTTCTTTTTTAAATTTTATTCTGTTATAGAAATAATCTGAAGCTTTACTACTATAGCAACAAAGCTGATTACTCTAGTAGTAAGCAGCTTAATTTATTTAATACTCGGATGCGGTTTGTTTAGAAGATTATCAACATTTTGTAGGTTTGCAAAGATAAAATTGTTAGTATTAGTTAGCATGGTAATTAAAAAATAGCAAAACTTGATGCGGAATATTATAAATTTTCTTTCTCTCAGTAGAAAATTTACCTATTTATACACGAATTTAACTTAAAAACATAACAATTAGAACCTACATTCACCCGTTTACTACTGTGACTTGGATGAAGTTATAAGAATTTTTCCCTGTACTTACTTGATTTTTCTTAATTTATTTATAACGGTTAGAGGGCCCGGGCCCTCTGGATCCCCCTCTGATTAAGCTATTTGTACCTAGCAGCCAGCTTCAAATCAACAGAGGTAAGTTTTCTATAACAGAAACAGTTATAAAAATTGCAAATTACATGGAATTTAATGAGGAATTTATTATTTACACGATCAATTTTTGGTTATAAAATGTCCGCTTTAAGGCTGTAGATAGCCGCTAACGTGTTATATAATTAAAAGCAACTGGTTGTAAGTTAACAATGTAATTGTTTTTTCTGTAGCGGAAACAGTTATAAAAATTGCAAATTAAGTTTGATTCAATGCGGAGTTTATTATTTATACATCTTTTATTGGTTATAAAATAAATAAAATGCCCGTTTTAAAGGTTGTAGGTAGTAGATAACATGGTAATTAAAGCAATAAAGTTAAGTTTTCTATAATGGAAAGCAATGAAATTGTGTAAGATGTGTTGGCTTCAAGGCCAAATTTATTATTTACATACTCACATTCTGTTATAGAATTAATAAAATTCTTGTTTTAAAAGATGACCACAGCTTTAAAAACAAGAATTTTATTAATTCTATAACAAAAAAGTCAGTAATTTAAAGAGGAACAATTTAAGAAGGAACATGTGAAAGGGGCTCTGTTCCTCTTTATTGTTCTGTGTATTTTTAATTAATTTAATTTGAAATATATGCGCTCGATCTCAAATTAATCTTGCCCCTGTACATCATACTTTTCCCGAATAGAGAAACTCCTTTCCGGGGAAAATTTCTGAATTGAAACCACGTTACTTCCGGTCCAAGCCGGAAAGTTCGTATATAGTTAATCGGGTCTCCTCCCCTAAGCTTTCCATATCCGGTCTCGATTTCCTTATACCTAACGCCATTCTCGAGATTAAGGAAGGACAGACAGACAGTCAGATGGACGATAATGGGAATTTATAAGTCTATAATTTTTTTTTCAAATTGCAGCCCAAAAAAAATATACATATACATTTTATTATTTATATGTCTTTTATTGATTATATAATTAATTTTAGAAGGGAGAAAAAAAAAACAACTTACACTAAGGTTAGATGGTAAAAGCGCTCACTTATACGTCAATTTGACGTCACTTCGATTTAACAATGCGAAGTTCTGAAGAACGACGTCAAATTTACGTAAGAAAACGTTCGACAAACCATAACCAATGGAAGAGAATCTAACAGATATGTTCATTTGGAAACGAAAGTTTATTATTTTCCAACTCATTTCTGATTGCAAAGTAAATAAATTACGTGTCTCTTAAGCTGTCAGCAGTTAGCATAATGATTGACAGTTTTAATTCTAAAGTGGGTTAGAAGCAAAAGAGAAAAAAAAAAAAAAAAAGAAAAGAAAAGAGCGAAAGTAGCTTCGACTCTAGCAAATTTTTTTCTCTCTTTTCATCTCTTTAAAAGAAGAAGGAAAAAAAGGGTAGACATTACCACTCCAGTTACAGATGTCAATCCTTTTAAACAAACACCACGTCAACACAGGCAGACATTTCACCATCGATTTCCCATCAACAACTACTGAAATCTTCCTGTAGGCGGCGACACTTTACACGTCTTGACAATCAAAAGCAAAATTTGTACGACACAACTCGATTGATGAGCTCCATTAATCCAAACAGCGCTCCTTTTAGCTACCGAAAACGCACCTAAATATCATTTTTTCTGCATAAAAAGAAAAAAAAAACGGCAATAAAATCTTTAAAAAAATATATAAAATAATTAAACTGGAAAATCTATAAATTAAACAATATAAAAAAAACAATGCAAACAATAGGAGACACACGACTTTCTAGATGGATGAAACTCCCGAGTGATGCTTAAAAACGTATTTTTCCCCTTCTTCCTTCGAGAGTTGGGCTTAAAATAAAAGAAATCTCGCAGGGAAATCAAATAAATAAGGTTTTTTTCTGAAAGGTGGAGACTTAAAATAATATAATTAATATCTTGGAAGGCACATCTAGTGGCTTAAAAAAGCATACTTGGTTTATTTAAGTGTTATAGATATTAAAAAAAAGGTGGAAATTATGTCTAAGTGCGATATTATCTGTAGAAAAAACATATTTATTGCCTAAGGTAACGTAATTTATTACTCGAGAAGTTGATATCTTTAAGGAAAAATATAGCTTCTAATAATATTCTATAATGAAAAATATAAATAATATATTTTAAAATATAATTGGGAAAAGAAACACAGGGCATTAGCATTTATATGCGATTATTGAACAATTTTCCTTCTTGTTTCTTAAAAAACTATGGTAGAAAAATTTATTTAGAAGCTCGTAAAGTATGTTTAATGACTTAAAAAATGGATACGGCCCGGTCCAAAAGTCGGTTAAACGAGTTAAGTATTGTAAAATATGTTTCGGTTAACTGACTTTTCGTCTAGCTGGCAATTTTCCCACTACTTTTATAAACGATTTGTTGAGGAAATTGGATGGTAGTTAAAAGAGAATGTAGTTTAATAAGGGAAAAATACTAATAATATAGTTAAGAAAAAATATATAATAAACAGCAAATCTTGCAGTGTTTTCATGATAAACATCACAGGTAATAAAAGGTTAAGGTCGTGACCTAAACTCCGGTTCCTCCAGAACAATAGACTAGTTTGTAGTTTAGATCTCAAAATTAAGGTAAGTTGACCCGGTATACGGTTCACACCCCTTACGGCTTTTTACATTATGGGAAGGTCTAAAATAGGCACGAAAGGGATCTTCTTATCACCCTTAGCGAGAAAGATTTAAGATTAAAAAATGAATATAACCCGGTTTTATATCCAGAAATCTAAAAAAAACCACCTAAATTTCTGATACGCACACACTCCACGTGTTTACGCGACACAGCAAAGAAAAGCATTATCTAAAACACCAAATCTGCCACACGAGAGTCAGATTTTTAATATTTTTAAAGCGTGTATAACTTATTTTTATAAAACATAAGAACGGCTTTTAAAAAATAAGTTTTTTAAGTATAAATTTTACGTATTACCGCACAAAAATGTCACTCGAGTGAAGTCTATAAAGTGTTTTTTCCTCCCTTTTAGTTATTGTTGGGGGTGATTAATAAAGAAATTTCCTCTCCCCTTTTGTTAAAAGAAATAACACAGATGTATAAGACAAGGTGAAGAATGGAAATCACAGATAAATGAAATTGAAACGCATAAAATTATTTTCCTTTTCCGTCCCCCCGCCATTTTCTTTTTGTTTCCTTAAACGTCACTGATTGAAGAATTCATTAAATATAAATCAATAATTTTTCTACAATTATTCTAGAATCACGATATACTTATATATATATTTAATGTAAAGAAATTAAAAAATTCTTCTATTTTAATTTAAAAAGATTTATTTTACTTCTTTCTCCCTCTTAAATTTAATCTTAAACGATCGTTCGCGTGATCGAGTTTACTTATATATAAATTCCTCTCCCCTCTTATCGGTAATGAAAAATAATTTTCTTACCTAAAATATGGAAGATTTTTCGGATTTTCTCATGAAATAAGAACACAGATTTCGGGTAAACGAAAATTTTTATTTTATTTTTTTTTTAGAGAATTTTTCTTGACAGTTTTTTCTTTTGTTTCGAGTTTCAACACAATTTCTACAGTGTGATTTCTTATAAAATAAAATATCCATCAATAGTTATAATCTATTATTAAATTTTCCTTATGAGCTAAGAGGATTTAAATTAATTTTAATATATATTTATAGACTATATATATATATATATTTCTTTAAACATTTAACTCTGTCAAAAAAACCAATGATATGTTACTTTATAGAAAATATCCAGCAAGAAAATGAAAAAGTAAGAGGAAAGAAATATAAAATCAGGTGTTTTTTTTTTCTTGTTTTCTGGACTTAAAAATGTTTGAGATCCTTCTTTTCTTGTTTCTTCCTCTTTTTTTTTTTTATTTCGATTTATTCCAACGAGATATGTGTATGACATCGACTGTATATGTATGAATAATGCCATACAGAAGTAAAAGTGAATTGAACGACACATGACAGAATATAGCAGAGGAAAAACTATAAAAGAAATCGTTCCCAGACAACATTTGATAAGACATTTACAATCGACAGATTTGTTTAGATGCTCTGTATAAATTCTATAACAAAAGACATATAAATCGACCTCCATTCTTCTTCTTTTCTTTTTTTTTATATTGTTTTTTCTTGTTTTTATCCATGCTAAAAAAATTCAAACGGGGGTGCCACCGACTATAAACTTGTCACTAATTCGAATTCTGTATGCTATATATACATGGTGAACTATAAATAAAATACCCGATGATAAAGGAGACCAACCAAATAAAAATACAGTATAAATGAATATAGGCAGTTCTCGGCGATATAATGGGATAAATTTTGATTAAAAATATGTTTAATTTTGATTGAAGAGCGAATACGGGACGAGACGCGCCCACTTTTGCTTATTTTTATCTCTTGAACCAATCGTCGTTAAAACGAACATATTTTAACCAATCGTTTTCGTTTAAATTTTAAACCGTCGTATCTTACGCATATTGCCGAGAACCGCTTATGTTCATAGAATTTTTTTCTTTTTTTTAAAATATATCTCCTTTATTCGTCGTCGAAATTATTATATTTCTTTTGCAGTTCATCATGTATAAAATAAAGAAGAGAATTCTCACAACATACACCAATTTTATAAAAAAAAAATAATTAAAAAAGTAGCTTAAAAGCAAATCAGAAATGAAAATCCGCGAAATGGTATGATGATATGGGAGAGAAAGTTAGGCTTTTATTTATTTATTTTTTTTTGTTTAATCGATGAATGGTCCATGCTACTGAAATTCGTTCTCGCAGCTTGGTTTACGAGATGAAATGTATTCCGATTTTATTAATTTAAGTACGTGTAAAGAGAGTCGATCACGCATTTAAGGGACGATAAGCGGAAGGTGAATTATTGTCCCCTTCCATGTCATCACACTGAGCTTGAACAACACGGCTGGTGGCAGCATCCAGTTGTTGGTAATGGCAACCGGAGCTTAGATTCATTTTATCTTCTCTTAGTTCGATGCTCCAGAAAGGTAGTCGAAGTCTGGTTCTTCTCTGTGACCAATAACGATAACAAGTAGCAGATGCCGCCACTACTAAGAGGACTGCTAGCGTTACCACCACAGCTACCAAAGGGATAGTACCATCGTTTAGACTCTGATCTGTAAAGAAAATATAAAAAAAAAGAAAAGAAAATCTCGTTTAAATTATCACCAGATGACAATTATCAACACAACTGATAAGGGGGGGGCGATTTAAGTGAATTTCCGAATTTTTGGCAGGATTCCAAAATGGTTTACCGAAATCAATTTACAATCGCTAATTTGGCGGTTGCAAGTTTTTAATATTTTTGTAATTTTTATGTTTATGAAAGCTCATTTTTTTGTTTTTTTGTTTTTTTTTAATATTGAGAGGCTCATTGATGAAAGGTTATTTGCTAAAGATGATGGTAATTTATAAGCGTGGTCATACTATTTTTTTCTTTTTTAATTTTTTTTGCATTAAAATCTGTTACGTTTATGAGGCTAAATTACTGTAGAAGTTAAGAAAAAAAAAAGAAAATGATTATCGAGAACCAGTTTGGAAGCGATGACAAATTACCGGGACGTGCTCCTTTCTTGATGGCTTTTCAAAGTATGTAAGAGCAACAGTATCAATCTGTAATAGAACGTGCTTGTACCCATTTGTACTTTTTACGGGGGTAACAAATTTCGTTTTCTGTCCCGACAAACGTCCAAAGAGAATTTCTTCAATATTTCACCATAGAATTCTTTGGTGTTCTAAAGTCGAAATTCGCAATTCGATTAAGGAAAAAAGGAGGGAGAAAAAATAGATAGATTTTTCCCTATTAAATTTCTTTCTTTCTTACTTTTTTTCCCTGATATTTTGAAAAGTTTTAAAATGTTTTAAAATTGGGTTTATACGTGTTACGTACCTGTTAATTTGCTATGTAGAAGGGATGCCGTCGCTCCGGGATCGGGGCAAGTGTCACATTGGTTATCGATAGTTACACATTTATCGTCTCTCCATGTGTATCCTGGGGTACAGTTTGTACAGAGAAGACCGGTGTGACCCGGAAGACAAGATGTGCAGGTAACGTGTCCATTCGCTGTCAAAAGAAAGTAGAAAAGCAAAAGAAATCAATATTTATTCAACTGTCATCAGCAACGTTTCTGTTTTTATAACTTTCAAGTTTCTTTCCTCTCCTTTTTTTATAAGCATAATAATAAAAGAACCTGAAATATATATATATATATATATATATATATTTAAAGCATCGGTACATTTGTATACGGCTTGGCTATATTTTTGAGCGATTTAACTGACTTTTGGGCCACCCTGTATTATTTTATTATAAACCTATTATTGTCTTAATTTAGTAACATTTCTATTATAGACCTAACGAATAATTTACAGCTCTCGTGTATAAATTTTGAAAGAAAATTTGCAATTTCAAGAACCAATTGAGAGATAAGCTCTCTAGAAAATAATGGCATACCGCAAAATAATTAAAGAAGCTTCGTCACAGTTGAAAGTCTAATGAGACGAGAAGATAAATAAACGATTTAAGTACAATTTGATTTGTCTTTAGCGCACTTTACGTAGTTTTCAAAGTCTTGCTGCTGAGGTTACAAATGTAATTACTTAAGATCTCTACCTTGATACATACTTAGCTACATACATTGGCGAGAACTTTCGACTGTATTTATGTGTCTGGCTTCTTTCCATCTCTATTTTGTCTGGGTCCTTCGATTTAATACGTATAAATTGTCTCATTTTCCACATTTTTATCAGACTTGTATTTGGATTGCGCTCTTATTCTCCCCTGGAGATAAATGCCACGTCGCGTATCGTTTGGATTCTTCTCTTGATTGGTCCATTTGCTCCATCGATATCATCAAGATGTATGATGATTTCGATAAAGGTCCTGCTTCTTAATTTCCTTGTGGACCGAAGCAAATGAAAATGCACATACTTATGACAGACCTTTGAATATGGAGGATATCAAGAGGCTATAAAGGAGGAGGAAAGTGAAGAGCTTATTTTGATGATTATTAAAGTGTAATTACGAGAAAATAAATAGAAAATAATACAAAAGTTTCATGATGTTTAGGATTTTCTTCTGTTCAAAGAGTACTTCTTCAATTTGGGGGTACTTTTTAACACTTTTTAAAATATCTCCGAGTTGAAGAAGCACCTGAACTTTAATGTTAGAATCATAAATTCGAAACACATTTCATTGGATTAATAATATTTTAAATCATGAAAAATGTATTTACGCTTTTGTGATTGGTTAAAAAAATTGCTGGACTTATCACTATATTAGGGTGACCTAAAGTCAGATTACTGCCAGCAATTCAATAATTTATGAAAGTATACACAGCGTTTTAATAGGTGTCATTTTGAACAGTTTTTTCAAATTTTCTACGTAATAAAATATATATAAATAGGACAATTTGAATATTTTATTAACAGGTAATACAAAAATCAGTTAACCTTAATAAGGCAGCGATTAACTAACTTTTAGATCACCCAGTAAATATTTAGTAAGATTATCAGCATGTTTACCTTAAATAGAATTTATTTAAATATACTAAAACCAAATTTTGAATGCATATATTTCCGTACTTAATGCAACACCCGAATAAAACGTATACTTTAAATATACACAAAGCTTCACAAACGTATTAATTTGTAAGTAATTTTAATGGCGCCTCCCACTTGTAAAGATTTTAAAACTCTAAAAATCAATTATAGTGAAAGGACTTTAATGACTTTCTTTAAAAAATAGATAGAGAAAGTGATTTTATTTTATTTTATTTTGGTAGAAAGCATTCGACATATTTATTCTATTTGGAATCCGATAATGGAATATTTCAATCCATGGCGTCGGATTCAATTCCTTCATAACGTTTTTAATATCAATAGTGATGTACGTCACACAGATAAAGAAGAAAAAAAAAAGCCGTTTTTAGTAACAACCTCGACAGTACGTGGAAAAAAAGGCTTTATCTACACCTCAATTCTGTCCAGAAGACTTTATGGATCCTGAACACAACATTATCCTTCGTGAGGTATCAACGATCGATGCAAGTGCCACACTCTTTATTACTATCCAGTTTTACGTGCAGCAGGAAATATTGGTAGGAAATAGCGCAGTTTTCCACACCGGATATATATATAAGAAATGCAGATATTTATTTTCGTAGATGTATCGAAGAAATGGAATACCAGATGGGCATTTCCTTCCATATAAAATGTAGATAAGTTTAAGATAAAATTTTCAAAAGTTGAAAATTCTCTCTTCTACTCTATCTGAAAGTGTGTAGAGTTGCGTGTTTAAATTTGCATTCTTCTCTAACGCCGCCTTTCATTCCCCTCCTTTACAAAAACCGAATTTTAATTCAATTGTCACCGAACGCGTTAAGTGAATTGAACTAAATCGCGCCCCCTGAAGAAGTGTAAATACATAAAAAAATTTTTTTTAAAGAATTAATAAAACTTACCTAAAATACATTCCCCCGCCGAAGTGATGTTGGTGCAAGGGCACGGCTTGCATTCCTCGCCCACTTTGAAGTATCCTTGAGAGCACATATCGCACCATTTACCTTCGTACCCGTTGTAACAAGCGCATTTCATGTTGTGGGGGGATCTTGTACACGCCAACGTACCGGTTTCGCTGCAATTGCACTCTGTAAGAAAACAGTACAGCCAAAACTATTAATGGTAGAGGATAGAGAGGGGGGAAGAGTTCGAAAGATGTGCACATTTAGAAATGCCGCTTTCTACTGCCGTCTAGAGGAATAAACGAACTGTTAACGTTGCACGGTGACTGTGCAGCGGGGCAGAAAGAATCAGTCCAACTGAGATGATGCAGCAACAAACTAACTAATCTGCTGCAGTAAGTAGAATGAGAAGAAAGAGAAAAGTTTCCTCTTCTAAGAATAGTTCGTCCCCAGTAACGGGGATTGTAATTGGTATCTTTCACAATTTATCTTGATATAAAGATATATTTACTCTAGAAAAATTTAAATTACTTCTTGCAATAGTTTTATATAAGGAATTTATGAAAAGGTATGTGTAGTTTTGGAGGGATGTCGCTCTTACAGTGTTTATTTAATTTAAAAATAAGATATACAAAAAATTGAATTTAAAAATTTGTAAAACTCTGAATCAACAACTGGATTTTTAAAAAATATTTTTAATTAATATTGATTCAAGTAAGGAATAAACAAACTTAATATATATATATTTACTCTTTATATCTACGATTTAATGTATCTTTTATAGTATTTACATAAAATATATACATATATTTTTATGCGAGAATAAATTTTATTCGAATTTTACAGATGTTCGATGATAAAATTCTTTATAAATATACTTTTCTGAAGCTTGAAATTTGTAAATATTATATTTGAAATTTTATATTGTACTTGAAAAATATTGAAATAATTTCTTTATAAAGTGGAAAGGAAAAGAAATAAATTTTATACAGTAAAACCTGTCCAAAACGTAAACAATATTCGATACCGTACGATTCTGTTTTACACAAATTTTACTGTAAATCTATATTATATTAATTCTGGTAATTAAAGTGGTTTAAAATTTAAGCAACCTTCCTACTTTGATTCTTAACGGTGAATAGAGAATAAGTTGAAGTTTCATAAATTAAATACTTTTAATATTTTGGTATTCGTCTCAAAATTAGATACCTTATGATGTTTAGAAACTGTGAGGAGAATGCTAATAAATATTTATTTCATTAATTTTAGTGGTTACAGATAATTTTAGTGGTTACAGAAGTATATTTGTATTCACACGTACGGAATTAACAATGTAAGTAGAATATGGAAAATGATCGCAATGTCGGACTGCAATTCTTATCACATTTTAATTCAAAAATCACATGATTTTCTGTTAAGATCGAAAGTTCGTATATAGTTAATCGAGTCATCCGACCTCTATCATGTCTCGATTATTGTCTATCTAATCACGTTCACGAGATTAAGGAGGGACGGACGGACAGACGAACAACTTCCAGCCTGCAATTTCAAATTTGCAACCCAACAAGAGCTTAAAAAGAGCAATTTTGTTGAATTACGATAAAAATCTCCATTTAAAGAAATATTTTAAAAAGCTACGTCACTAATCCAAAGTTAAAGTTGTATGCGATACCATCTGTTACGAGATGTTATTAAAAATAACTTTTATATTATTAATTATCCTAATTAGGAAAAAAGACTTAATTTTGACGATAGAGATGAATTTTAAAATATTGTAAATGTTAATAACGAGTAAACTTTTCATTAAGTCCGACCCCACTCCAGATATGATTCGTCACCCCTTCTATCTTTCCGCCCTCGAGTTCAGTATTCCAAAATTAAATAGCATCAATACTCCTTATATACAAATCAACGTTGTTACGCTGTTACGATTGTCTCGTATCGTACAATATACATTTTTTGATAATAAAATTGGGTTTAAAGTAATTTAAAAGACACCTTGAAGGAACGTGGAGAATTAACGGGGTATCTGCCAAAAGTGCTGACTTTTTGCACTGGCCAAGTTGAAAAAGTGACAAAAAATATCCAAAATTTGACTTCGTGTCACGTGGTATTGCAATGGATTACCAATAAATTGTGTAACTTGCTACCAAAATATCAAGTTTGTATAATTGGGTTGCAATTTTAAAATTGAAGACATATTCTCAATGTTTGTCCTACGTTAATCCCGAGAATGCTGCTATATAGATGAAAATCGAGATTAGATATAGAAAGCTTTGTGGACGGAGGTCCCCAAAGCTTTCTATATCTAATCTCCTATACACGAACCTCCGGTCTGGACCGGACTGGAAGTAACGTAATTTTTTAGTTACAAGATGATTAAAATTGCAGCAATGTTACAATTAACAATTGCTCGTTTCTTTTTAGTTCGTGTATACAAATTTCTTTACAGTAACAAATATTTTAAACTATAGATCTGTACTATTGTGAAATTCTGATATTTTTGATGTAATTTAAAAGGATTATCCATAAAAATAATTATGAAAATGTAATTATAAAAGTAAAATGTATATTATTATGGCATCGTCACAATGGTGAACTGCAATTTCTAATCATATTTTAACTTAAAAAATCACGAGACTTCCGGTCCTGACAGGAAATTTGCACTGTGTATAGTTAATCGGGGTTTCCACCCCTAAGCTTTTCACATCTGGTCTTGATTTTCATCTAACTCCGTTTTTGACATTAATGGAGGACGGACGACATTGGGAATGTACAGGTCTTCAATTTGAAAATTGCAGTCCAAAAATGTTGACAAGGGCTCTTGCTCGACTTTCTCGGCACTCAAACAGGAGGCTAAGAACTAGGAAGGAGGTCCGATAATTTCAATTATACTTCAATATAAAATTTACACAATAATAAGAACTTAAAAGATAATCTTGTTAAATTATGATAAATTTAAAATTAAAATATTTAAAAAAAGTAAAAAAAACTCTATTGTAAAAAAGCACTTTTTAGCACATTTAAGTAAGACACAGTATCCCAAAATTAAAATTGCGTGCATCTATAATAGGATTTTATTTAAAAAATAACTTTTATACTATTAATCATAATAAATAAATAAAACTATATGTGGCGCCATCTGTTATAAGATTTTGTTATAAAATTTTTCTAATTTTTTAAATTGTTATAAAATGACAAAACGCTTAATTTTTCCTGATAACAACAGTCATGCCGGTCATCTATATAACTTCGTTCGGGAGAAATTTTTGAATTGAAATCACGTGACTTCCGGTATATATTTCCGGAAGTTCGTATATAGGTATTCGGGTCCTCCCGCCCCTCAGCTTTCCTTATCTAGTCTCGAATATTTCGTCTATCTAACACCGTTATCGAGATTAAGGAAGGACAGACATTTGTAATTTATAGGTGTACGATTTTTTCAAATTGCAGCCCAAAAACCGAGAGGGGCCAAAATTTGACAGATCATCATACTTTCTCTGTGTTATATTGTATAAGAGCCGTGAAAATAAAAATTGGAAAAAAAAAACTTTATATTGTTATATTTAAGAACAGAATTAAAAAATTTTTAGTACAGTAAAAACCTGTGTAAGCCGGAAGGACACGACACCCAATGTTTTTTTCGATTAGGCAGGTTTCACCGTATTAAATAAATAATTCTGTAGTGTGGGGGGGAAAAAACAGCATTTTTCTCTGGCATATTTGTTTAAAACACGTTGTAAACGAGTTAATTAAAAATATTAGAAAGGAAAAACGTTGTAAAAAACTTACCAAATTTTCCATCCGGGTATATATCATCGCCCACAATGAGATCTTCAACGGGGAAGAGAGTGGTGACATAAATTTCAGGAGCAGCAACTCTTTCTTTAGTATCATAAACAGCAGCTAAGACGATCCTATAATTCGTACCTTCAGTCAATTCAGTCACCATCATATGACTTGCATTCGGAGGTAATAAGAGATTCATTTCTATACCAGAAGAAAGAATTTTTAATTAAATCTCGCACTTAAAAAAATACAATCGCGATTAAGTTCTAGAAAGAAAATAAAATTAAGAAAGGAGAAGAAAAATATTCCTATATAAGATTGACAAATTAAAAGTTTGTCGCGGTTCGAAATTAAAATGGCGTTTAAAATAAAGTTACCTAACTTTCCCGGTAAAAAAAAAAAGTTAAGATTGCGCATGGTGCCATCTGTTACGAGATTTTATCAACAAATTTTTACGTTATTAATTATTATAAAATGAAAAAAAAAGCTTAATTCTGGCGGCAGGGATGGGTTATATAAAGGATTGTAAATGCTTGTAAGGAGTAAAATCTTTATTAAGTCCGAACTTGGCTCCTCGACCATTAACCACGAAAATTTAATGGCATTGGCACTTACCATGCAAAATTTCAGAAATTTCCGTCATAAGGATGGAGTTAATAAGCATCAAAGTGGGTAGACAAAATCGTGCCAACCCCACGTACACTACACTAACAACCATGCGTAAAACAAAATTCCCTAAATTTTTTGCATTTCTCGACATTTGGAGGACCCCGAGTCCAAAAAAATATAAAAATTTAGGGGGATTCGATAGCCATAATTTCCCTCCGTTATACATAACAGTCGGCATAGTAAAAGAAAAGAAAAAAAAGAGGAGGAGCGAGAGGAAGAGAAAAGGTTAACAGTGGAAAATTTCATAGATGAAATAAAATTCAACAAAAATCTCAACAGTTTTCGAAGTTCAGTGATCTGAAAGCAAAATGGCAAAGAAAATAATGAAACGGAATCAGTAATGCCTGAAGATAAAAATGTCTTTGTAAGAATCAAGGATATTCAGCAGCCGTTCTAGAGCATCATCTATTACCATTCATATCAGCAGCTGTCAGTAGAAGGAATAAAAGAAATCGATTCTAATCGTCTTCTTTGCATTGACTGAAGAAGTAAACCTATTTTCCATATTGGAAGGGGGGAAAATTTAAAAGAAAAATATAAAAAATAAAATAAAATAAATTAAAAATAAAAAAAATTTGTAATTTTCTCTTTACCCGGTCCAATTATACTGAAGAAATATAATTGAAAGGTATGAAGTATACACAAGTTAAAGCCATTTGTGTAGGATTATAGGTGACGGTCTTGGTGAATTATTATTAAATTGATAGAATGCTTCAGTCGCTCGACTAAAGTAAACTCGAGAGTGCTTTCTCTCTCTAATTTATTTGTTGAATCGTCTATGATTTTTGCAATTTAAATTTATTTCAAATTTGGAGATTTGCGAATTTTTCCCCTTTCTTCTTCTTTTTTTTCACCCTCTTTTTTTTAACACCGCAAGAAGGAAAAAATATTCGTGCTTTTGATGACTTTTTCCCCTTTTTCCCGTAGGTAAACTCTTCAAATTTCACTTTAGAAATGAGAAAAATCATTTAATTCTGCTCTGTTTTTGAAAAAATTCGTGTTACATCTCTCTAAATTTATGACAGTAAATTAAATATTTTGCGACTTGGCATCCCTTTAAAAAAGTAACTATAAAAATGGTCGTTGTTCGGAGGTTATTCACGACAAAAATAAAAATAATCCCGAAAGAAAATGGCCGCTGTTTAGAGGTGGTCGTTATTGAGGGTTCGTTTAATCCCCTATCCAATGATCTAAATAATTAATCCATCTTCGTTAAATAAATCTCAATAATTGTAGAATATAGATTAAGATTTCAATTATTTTTATTATTAATTTTCAAATAGATAATTTTCGTTTAAAATTAATTAGTGAATCGATAGATATAAACATAAATTAATAAGTATATTATCTTGTATCCTACCGAATATCTAACGATTTTTTTTGTATGTTTTGTGCGTTTAAAGATCGATAGATTTCCAGGTAATCCTGCACACTTTCAGTTTTGTTAGATCAGAAAATCCTACAAAACTTTCACTGATAAACAAGAAGAAACGGCACGCAAAATTAAAAAGAAAATCCACCCCTGAAACAGTAAAATATATAGAATATTAAATTTTCAGCTAGGAAGCGAGAAAAACACAGAATAGATCGAGTAAAATGCGGCTAATTACGTTAAGGTGTGCGACATGTTTAGAAAAAAGAGGGAAATGAGAGTAGAAGCGATACAGTTATCATATAATCGATAGTATCGAAAGTGGCGAAGGAAGAGATTGTTTTACTCTTTTACTAATCGACACTAAGTCTCCTAATGGAATTTAGACTCGGCGTTCACATCACAAGAAATCCAATCGACCATTTTGAAAGCTTGGAAGAGTTTTTCTTTCCTTCCGAATACTTTTTTCTTTTTCCCCCTATGATTCTGTTAATTTTCTTGTTGGAAATCACTTTGACAAAGGCGAAAGAGATTGAAACGACCTTCATAAAAGGCAAACATCGACAGGAAATTAAGTCTTTCGTAAATTAGACAAAAGTTGAAGGTGAATTGAAGTAGGCTTTTCGACTTAATTTAAATGCGAATTCTCCCGAGTACAGAAATAATTTGCAAAGTAGAAAGAAAGTGATTCTTTGATTTCCTCCCCCTTCAAGTTTTTCAGAAGGAAGAAGCAATAATTCGCTTTAAACAGGAGCAGCAGGAGCAGGAGAAGGAGGAGGAGAAGGAGGATGCGGAAGAGAAATAAGAAAAGTAGAATTTATGAATGAAACGAATTAAATATAATAAAGATCCACCTATTAATTATATTTTAATAAAGCGTGCCTTAATGTAATTAATGAAAATATATAAGATTAGTTTAATTAAATAAAATTACGGCTTTGATTTAAATTTATTAAAACTGAAGAAGGGGGAGAGAGAAAAACAATCTAACAGGAAATTAAGGTGTTTTCTTATTTATTTTAAGTGCAAACCTTTCTTAACGCAGCAACGTATGAAGAATCAGATATGTGATGGAGTGTGCTTGTGTAGATAACGTGATTGAAAATGTCCCCATGTTGATACATGTATCACTAGTCCTATAGATTATTTGATAGAAAAACCTACCTTTATCCTGTTTGTCACGTACGTTGTATGTAAGCGAATAAGCAACGAGATCTCCGCTTTGATTCGCAATCAACAAAGGTGGTTTCCATGTTAAAGTAAACGAATGTTCGGCCACTGCATCTATCGATAACTGTTGAGGAGACAAATCTGAAAAGGAAAAAAAGAAATATATATATATAAATTTTAATTACATCATAACTTAGAAACTGAAAAAAAGAAGAAATATATTTGATATATTAAAATTTCAACTGGTAAAGTATTGAAAATCGACAGAGAATTTCTAACAAAATGACATATGTACAGAAATCGATTCGTTACCTTATTCCTTCTTATGAAAAAAAAGAAGAAGAAAAAAAAATTTGTTGGAGAAAACCATTTCCAATAACAGAAAACTGGATAAAATTAACCCCTAAAAAAAGGGGAGAGTTTTTTAAGGTTAAATTAATAATAAAAAATTCAAACGGGGGATATCAAACTCGAAGCAATTTTCTAAGACATATGAAATATAAAATTCGATTAAAAATCCGTCCGTACCAATTGAAAGAATGGCATTTTTTTAAGCATAAAAAGCTAAAAAAAATCTATTAAACAAGACGATCTTATCGAAACAACTTATCAGTTCTTGAAAACTCCCTCTGGGACTTGAATCTCTTATCTAGAAAAGTATTCTTAGGAGTAGAAAAGAAAAAGAGGAGGAGGAAGAGAAATCTTTTAGATTAGAGACGGTTTGTTTTCGTTCTTACGACGTGATAATTTTGCCATCTGTAAAGCTCCAGGCTATAGTAAAGATAATTTTCTACTAATAAACAAAGATATCAGAATATTATAAAAGCAATTTTCTTCGATAACCAATTTTTTTTATATATATATATATATATATTTTTATTATTATTACTATACAAGTATAGGAGATGAGCCAGATAAAATTAATGATAGTGTGATTCATATACCCTTATCGAAGATAAATTAATGTCGACAGTGGCTATTAATTCACCGGGCAGTTAGAGACAAACTTTAACAGGAATTATTTATTCTTAAACAGGGTCGTACATATAATTTTAGGCTAGTTTGAGGACACGAAGATGTATATGATGTACGTGACACGAGACCATAAGAGAGCACTCTCTCATTCGATTTTCGAAATGAATTATTAGCGTAGTGAATCGAAATAAAACTATATTTCTAAAAATATAACTTAGTTTTATTGATTGATGGCAATGGAGGGACATAAAAAAACATAATGTATAATTTGATAACAACGTGAGGAATTTATTGTAAATAATTTCTGAAGGGGTGGCTTACGTGACGCGCACCAGATTCGAGACTACGTAACATGTTTAATATATTAAAAAAATTGGCGATTGGTAAGATTCACGTCAGCAATTTTCGTAGAATAATAAATCGGCTATAATTTTCTACAATGTAAAACAACGTTACGTCTCTTAAAATTTTAAAAATCTACAAATTACGAAGGGGGGAAGGTTACGAAAATGTAGCACCTGTCGCAAAGTGCTAGGGCGTTATTGCCGTGTTTAGACACACAAAAAAATGACATTGTCTCGTCTAACTGACATGATATATATATGAGGATATGGCCAATGCAACGGCTGAATTCATTTTTTGGAGTATAAGTCGAGTGGAGAACAGTTGTCGAGAGGAGCTGTTTGTCAGCTTCTAGATTATCCAGGATTTATTCCACAGCAAGAAAAGAATATAAACTTTCCTTACAGTAAAATATTTATTCTCGTTGTCATAAATGTTATAATTTAATTAACAATTCTCCTGGAAGCTCATTTAATAGTATTACCGACGAAAACATTAAAAGTTTTCTTCCCTTTTTGATAAATTTATCGAACGTAAAGTAATGCGTGAAGTGGGATGCATAATTTGCTTTCGTTTACCAAAAGAAATCTACATACATTATAAAATTCTTCAACCTTCTTTTTTGTAATTTCCCAAGCAACTTTCCTACTTATAAACATTTCAATAACTTTTATCCAAGAATTAATACGTTAAAAACCTTTGCACGATTCGTTTAACGTGATTAATTGATGGCACTGGAGGATGTCTAATGATTCGGAATCACTCAAACAGACATTAAATTTCGTCTGCATAATTCTTAGAAAAGAATATTTTACTAACAAATTTATGACAATAAGAAAAAAAGTAATAAGGATTACATTTTAATCTAGAATAAATGACCATCTTGTTGAAAATTGTAGTAAATAAGGTGTAATAAAGGGTGAAAAATGCTTATTTACAAGATACCAAACGTCTATTAAATATTCATTTCTATTTTCAAGACATAAATGCTACATTATGAAAGAGTGAAACTATAATTATCCCTTTGTTTTTCTTTTCTCCATGCTTAAAATTTGTGATTAAAATTAAGAAGGTGTACGCAAAAATATAATTTAACTTGTAATTCAAAAGTCTGTAACTATGTAAGTAGCTAGATACTTAAACCATGTTTGGCTCTATGCTCCTATTTCTTTCCTTTCTTCCTCCTCCTCCTCCTCTTTTTTTTGCCTAATTATAAGAATTCTTTGTTCGTTCTTTAAAGACTTTCGAGTGACAACGGTTCGTTGTTTCCACTCGAAAAATAGAAGGCTAAAAAATAATTAAAATAACGTTTGAAGAGTTGAAGGTTCTTTTTTTCAGTTTTAAGAATTTGTTTAAAAAAGTTCTTGTACAATTTATGTTTTATTCCTTGCCTTAAAAATAAATAATTCTTTTGTAATTTAGCTATCTACTTTTCAAGTACACAGAGTGAAATTTCAGCAAAAATATTAAGTTTGGAAGATGGTAGAATAGATTAAAAGAACAGAAACTGTTTTATAAACATAGGCAGTTCTCTATTTGATATCGAAGATAAAATGCTTAAAAGATTACAGAAAATTAACGCTAATTGGTTGAAAAAACAGAAATTGACAGTTGTAGGCTTGTTTCTTTTTAATTTATTACTCGAGTCAACCAATAAATAATCATTTACTCAAGAATGTCTCTAATAAACTTTTAATGATAGCTTAGGTGTTTTATCTACTATATTAAGCGGAGAACCTCCTGTATTTATATTTATTTGCACAGTTTTTCATTTACTAGAATTATTTCGGCGTTTAATTATTGCATTTATTTTAACGATTAACGGCTGTTATTTCAGGTTTTTATTGAATAAAAACAAGCAGAATTATGTTTACTTCTGTCTATATCTACTTCATCAATCAATCTTTGTCAAAACTACAGAATCTCCGGCAATCCTTTGTTAAAATATCTATCGATAAAAATGTCTATATTCGCATGGAAGCTTTTATTTAATTTTTTTTCTTCTTCCTAATTTCTTTTTCCAAAAGTTACTATATTTTACTAGCCTTCACCTTGCTGAATTGGATTAAGAAGTCTATGATTATTCAATCTATCGATGCATTCTTTCAATATATTTCTGCATTCCTTCCAAGTTCTTTCGTGAAATTAACTTATAAAAGTCTTCTATAACTTAATAACAGTATAAGAAATTTCATTTAAACTTTAAAAAAAGAAAAAAATTGATAAGAGAAGAGAAAGATGTGCAAGGATAAAAGCGAATTTCGAAAACAATTCTTAGATTTTCTACAAAAAATGGCGACATAAAAACTGCAGATTTTATCGAAAGAATGATCTAGTTTAAGAATACGTAAATTTATTTTTATAGTAAAGTATTTACATGGATTTTCTTTAGGAAAAAAATACATATATGGAAGAAGTGTGTAGTTGAGGTTTACGTTGAGAGATTGTTTTAACGTTAATTGATGTGTTTATGAAAGGTTAAATAAGATAAATTCGAAAAATTAAACTTCATTTTCTACTTTTTTCCCTCCTGGATCTATTCCAAATTGAAAGTATTAAAAACTCATCATCAATAGCTACTATCTTCTCGCATAAAAATCGATATTTTTTTGGAAGAAAAATTAGTAAATAGCATTATAAGATTACAAGTTAATAGCAGGCAATTAAAACGAGAGAGACACTAGACGATTTAAATGTTATGTAAGGCATTAAAAAAGTATACATATATATAGCCTATATAATATAAAATAAAAGAATAGAAAACAAAAAGAGACAGTTGACCTTTCTCTCTATTCATCACAAATTATAAACGGTGTTTTTATTCTCGACCGCTGTCAGCAGTTCAATTATCAGGAGTCGACTGTACAAGCTCGACGCGACAATGGACACTAATTAAGTCTCCCTATCTGCCAAGTCGACGACACGAACAAGGGAAAAAAGAAAGGAGAATATTGGTCTAGATGCGTCAAACCGTGGGAGGTGAGAACCCTTAATGAATAGGGTGATTCCAAGACAGGTTGAGCGCTCCGAGATAAATGACTAACCATGGATTTGTTTGTGGAAGAACGAAAGGAATTTGTACATTATATTGTGACTAGAAGAACGGATTAATGTGTCTTTTTCTGGTTAGAAGATGCAGAAACGGTGATTTTTCTTCCTTTATATACGATTTTTTTTTTTAAAGAAAAAAAGAGATTTTTCGGTTCTTTATTAAGTGACATCAGCTACATCTGTTTCGAATTGATCCCCCTCTTTTAACGTTGTAGAGCATTTGGTGGTGTGTTTAAGTGCAGTTACGCTATTTATCCGTTGGCTGCTACAGAATTCGATGAAAGAAAACTAATCGAGTAGAAAACCACTAAATATCTCTGGTTCACATCAGTTTGGTATCGTTAAATGTTGATTTTTCTGAGGATCTTTCTTAACCATTTATGCCGTTCCACTACGTTCAATCTGAAAAATGGTTCCTTTAAAAGAAAATACTTAAGCGTTACATAATAATGGCATTCCCGAGATAATAAAAGGAATCAATTTTGTAAATAGAAATGATAATTTCCTTTTATTATAATTAGAAAATTAAATATAAATAAAAGAAACATCTGCCCTTTCCTGAAAGTTACAATTAAAGAGTTAGAATCACTGGCCAATTGCTATTATTTTTTTTCTTTTAAATGCCGAGTGAAGGGAGGGTAAAAAATGCAAGGAAATTCAACATTTACAATTGCATGATTAATATTGAACGCATTGTTCAATAGCTATGCAGTTCCATCTGCAGTTTTCTCATTTATAATCACGGTTGGCGGCCGATCGAAACGGATAACAAA